AAACGCGACGCATATATTTACCTATGTTGTTACACATGCAAATCGGGCGTTACTTTTTGAGGCGACTGTACATGTAATTATTTTTAGTTATTGAATAATATTTTACATGTACAGTGCTCCGCAGAAGTATCCGACCTCCCCTTTTTTCCGAGCACAAAGAACATTACAAATGCTGATTATGATACCTTTTATAGGTTGGTAGAGCTTCTATATCAGGTATTGTATGTTCATAAATTTTCACGTCCCAAATATAATCAGTTATTTCATAACACACTTCTCAATATCCAATAATCTAATTTTTGAAGTCTGGTGACCCGATTTGAACAAAAATACAACCATTTGATTTGTCTAGTCAAGACGAATCGAATAGTATTATTTTTGTTCAAATCGAGTCACTGGACGACGAAATATTGCGTCTTAAAGTAGCAGATTCATTTTTTTTTGACACTAAACAAAATGAATCGGTCAATTTAGGACGTAGTATCTTGACTTCCAGTGGTCCGATTCGAACAAAAATAATACCATTCGATTTGCCTAGTCAAAACGAATCGGATTACTGGCGGTCAAGATATTACGTCCTAAATCGACCGATTCATTTTTTTAGCTTCTAATGAAAAATTGATCGACAAAAATGACATCGAGATATTATGTCCTAATGTTACCGATTTACTGTATTTGGGCATGAAAGTTTATGAACATATAATACTGATATAGAAGCTCTACCAATCTATAAAAGGTATCATAATCAGCATTTGTAATGTCTTTGTGCTCGGAAAAATTTGGTGCATTTCACATGATCTATGGAAAGTTAGTAGGGGTCGGATACTTTTGCGGTTGACTGTACATGCATACGAATAGCTTATTTGTACATACTCCTGATAATAAGCACCCTACTTCATCATTTTGGGGTCGAAAAATTAAGGCTTGCTTAAATTCGTGTAGTTTAGAAAAAATACCGGGCAATGGTCAGCTAAAGGGTGCCTATGCGTGAGAAACAAATAAAAAATTCGTCTAATGTTACTGAACAGAAAATATTGATATCTGAACCAGTCAATATAATAATTGAATGAATTATTTTAATAGATTAAATAATAATTTTTAATAAGGGGGGTTACTTATTCAACTTTTCGATCTGCATGTATACGGTATATGTATTCTATATGTTTGTTGTATGCATATGCAGAAATTTCACATAGATAATATTTACTTGTACGCATACTGATGGCTATAAAAATACTTGTAACTTCCTTCATTTCAGGATTTTTAACTGCTTTCAGCTTAATTGCTTGAAAATTTTATCATGGACGATAAAATTAAATCCACCGTACCAAATACCAGCGTAAAAATGAAATTTGGTTTTCAGATGTTATATGATAATAGCATAAAATATTTATTCACGCATTTATTTTAAATAGTCATCTGAGATTAAAGATGATTTGCAGGCCCAACAGGTTACACGAATGGAAGGCCATGTAAATGTGACTGAAGAAAAAAAGCTTGTTAGCGCTGGGGTTAAAGTAATTGAGCTCATAAATTTAAGATTACTGTATACTTCTGTGTTCATAAATTCTTCCAACTTTTAATTAAGCATGTCAAATGCATAACCATTTATTTAGCAAACGGCGGTTAAGGAGGTAATGTTTAAGATTACTATATACTTCTGTGTTTATAAATTTTTCCAACTTTTAATTAACGTTAGGCATTTTCATGATCTTTTAAATCTAACGTATATGCATCCTAATTATTTAGGCGGATATACGAGTAAGTATTTATGATTTTCTAAATTTTAATTCTTTAATAGTTGCAATTTCTGATTACATGTATTAGGCCTTCATTGAACCGGCCTGTTGCATTTTTCCGATTGGAATGGTATGTATTTATGATTTTCTAAATTTTAATTCTTTAATGCAAGATTTTAACGTATTTTTTTATAGATAACAAACAGATGGAGAGCGAGCAAAATTTATGAAGTTAGATTACAATCAGATAACAATAGAGAACGTATTTTATACCTGATTGACAAAAAAGACCTTGATTTATTTAAAGAAATGGTTAAATGGAGAAGAGAGAATAACTCAAAAACAATGGAAAATGCAATTGATGAATTTGGTATGATAAAAATAAGATATTATTATATACATAAATTATTAAATTCGATATTTCCTTTTAGGTGACAGATACGATAGCAATAACAATAGACCAACATTTGACGATGTTCTTACTTGGATTCGAGATTCCCTTTTAGGTGACAAAAACGATAGCAATAACAATAGACCAAAAGTTGGCGATGCTCTTGCTCGGATTTTATATAATGATAAATTTCCAGATTTCATCTTCAAATTTGAGCCTAAAGGGTTTACAAAATCTACAGATGATGCGAGTATAGAAATAAGTGAAGAATTTAAGTCTTCAGATCAGGCGCGTCGAAAATTCGAGTTACTTCTCTTGTTATCAGGTTTATTTGTTGAGCGTGAGATTACTAGAGATGTTACATACGTTAAAATATGGACTCCTTTTAAGAAACTCTGTGAAGCTGCGGAAGAAATACGTATTAAAAAGGAACTTGTTGTACGTGTGATTGATTTAACTAATACTTGCACAATATTTTGGTATACTAAGGTTATTTTAAATTTCCTTTTAGCAAAGAGCAATACCAAATGAGAACGATGACAACAATAAAACCAAGGAAAACCATGAAGATAGCAACAATAAAACCAACAAAAAATTAATTGACAACATTTACGAATTTTTATATCAAAAAATAACACCATATTTTGTTTATAAAATAAATCTTGACAAAAGATTATCTTTCTTTCGTGCAGATCAATTTGATAAATATAAAGACGTATATGAATACAAGAAATACAGCGATATTGTATTACATTTTTGGAACAGTTCAACCCGCAATTTATTGGTATATTAAAAATTTTATCGTGACGTGATTAAGCATTTATAATATCTTAAACTAATATATCGCAATCAATTTAGACATATTATTTCATAACCGATGCAAATAGAATTATGCCTGAAGGAATACCAGAAGCCTTACGTCTAAGATCCTGGGGATTTGATAGTTTAATGGAAAAAAACGTATATGATGCTTTTTATCCTCTGCATGATGGGGAAATAATACAGGATCAAGTATTCAGAGATCCAAATAATAAAAAGGAGAATCTAAGAGCAAAACTTTTCAATAATTGGATTAAAAGTTTAAAAAGACAACCCCTAAGTGAAATCAGAGAATATTTTGGTGAAAAACTAGCAATGTATTTTGCATGGCTTGGTAACTATATCAATATTTTAAAAGTTATATAAATATATATTTTTAACTTATCAATAATTTGTAGGTTTATATACCTCATGGTTATTTGTAGCTTCTATTTTTGGAATCATTACCATTATCTATGGTATTATAGATTTCGAAACGACGTAAGTTTATTTAATTTAGAAGCTTTATTTTCTTTATCTCTAATATTTCTTTCCATAATAGCCCAGATAATGTTAGCAATGGTGTTCCAAGAGTTACTAAACTTTGGGATAATGCATTTACTGTTGTATTCGCTTTCTTCATGTCGATTTGGGGTCAGTATTTGGCTATATCTAATATAATAAATAACAAATTTCTAATAATTTACGATTTTATCTTTTCTACTAGCAACTTGTTTTTTGGAATCATGGAAACGTTATAATGCTGCTCTCGCTCATGATTGGGGTGTCACCTGTTTTAAGAAAAATGTAACTTTAAATCATATTATATATGCTTTGGTTTTGTTTTCTTTCATTAATTATTCTTTAATTAGGAACAATCTCGTCCTGGTTTTCGTGGAACAGGTAAAAATTTTTAATCTCATTAATTATCTCTTAATAATAATTTCTATATAACGGCCATTTTTATTCTGTAAAGTCAGTATACAGTCTAAAGTAACAAATAAGAAAGAACTTGTATTTCCGCCCCGTAAAAGATTTCTATATTGTTTCGCTTCGATAATACTCATTATTGTATCGGTACATATAAACTAATGAGAATTATTTATTCAAGTTATATACTAATGCGAAAAGTTAATTACAGATACTTATTGTTATCGCGACAACTGAAACCCTTTTATTGCTTTCGAAAAAGTTGTTTGGAAAATTTGGCGCTTTGGGTAGCTTTATCTCGAGTATTATCAATTTAGGTGTAGTCCTTATCTTAAGTCCGGTAAATAATTTTTTTTCATTCAAAGGTTTTAATCTCTCGCTAATTTTTATCACTTGATACTCTAGACTTACAAGAGACTAGCTATAAAACTTACTGAGTTAGAGAACCCTAGAACCGCGACAAGATTTGAAGGTATCAATCTGTTCTTAGCCTATTCACTTAAAAAATGGTAATTAATCTTATTCGTTTTCTTATTACTAGATTCTCACATTTTGAAAGTTTACCTTTTCGATTTCGTCATCTTTTATGGTGCACTATTTTACATTTTAATAGTCAAACAAAAGGTAAATCATTTAATTATATATTTTCTGAAAACAATAACGATAATTGAACATGGATTTTCGGTCTACGTATAGTTTGCCGGTAAAATTCTTCGCATATCTGATTATGAAGGATGTGAATATAATAGTTGCATGGTAGAGCTTAATATACAACTCGCCGTTATTCTTATTGGCAAGCAAACTGTAGGTCAAATAGAAGACCTTGCATTACCGTATGTATCTGATATAAAAATAGTGAAGTTTTAAAATTTTTTAAGATTTGAAATACTTATCGTTACGATAAACTTCTTAGACTGTTTAAAAAGAAATTTGATTCGTTTATGAACCCTTGGAAAAAGAAGTTTAATTCGTTTATAAACTCTTGGAAAAAGAAAAAATCTTCTCAAAAAGAACTCAATGAAGAAACCAAAAAAGTACAGAATGAAGAAATAGAAGTTGTGGAAGTTTCATCTTCCAAAGATGAACCAAATGAATCATATCCCTGGATTCTAGATGACCAGTTGTTGCCAACTGATAAAGATGATCTTAGAGAGGATTATGAGCAAATGGGTATGTACGTTTTTTGTAAATCTTTGATAACAGTATATTTAACAAACACTTTTTTGTTATTGTAGCTATTCAATTTGGTTTTATTGCGCTTTTTGCTGCTGCTTTTCCTTTAGCACCATTATGTGCTTGGTTTCATAATATCATTGAGATTCACACGGATGGTTATAAGGTAAATAATATGTAGACCAACTGTTGAATTATAAATAATTCAATATGAATGAATTTTTAACTATGTTTCCATTTTTTATTTACAGTATCTTAAGCTTAAAAGGCGAACAATCAGCTCACTTGCACAATCTATTGGAATGTGGGATAATATTATTTACATGATTTCGATCTTTGCTGTGCTCACTAATGCTTCAATTTTAGCATTTCATTCAAATTATATGCAAAGTGTATTTAAAAAGTATGTTGGAAATGATGATTCGTCTTTACTTAATGTTCGTCTTGGCTTTATTTTAATATTTGAGGTAAAAAAAAATTTTTTGAAATGATATTTCATAAATTGCTTGGTGATTTTGTGTTTAATAATAACCATCTGTCTTTAGAACATTGTTTTCCTCGTCAAGTTTTTACTTTCATATCTTATACCCGTTGCGCCAACCGCTGTTAAATTAGCTAGAAAACGCTGCGAATATTTGGAAAGAGTTGCTATTGCAAAGACTGATATTGCAAAGAGAGCTCTCGCCGTCAATGAATATAAAGAAGGTGAAGAGAATGAAATGTTAGAAAAAGCTAAAAACACAAAATTTATATACCAGGTCGAAAATGTAAAATTAGTTCAATAATGCCATGATAATTAGAATAGATAATACTAAGAGGAAAAAATATAGATATCGGGTCGCAAGATTAAATTAGAATTCATTCAATAATGTAATGGTAACTGGAATTAGCTTACCAATTACCGTTACAATAAAAATTACTTAAATATCATGGTTTATGTTTTACGATTCTAATCCATATTAATATACTGAAATTGCTATATAAAAATACGACCGGGTAGGAATTTCACCTGATGCGTATGTGTTTTTGGTCAATCGGATCATGCTAAAAAATTTTTTGACCTGCTTTTTTGTGATGTATTCGTGAATTTTTCTTATCATTGTTAAACAAATAAAATATCAATGCATCGATTACGTCAAAAAAGATCATATCGCTATGTGAATTTTCTAAAAACTTGTTTATTTACGCGTATGATCTACAAAAATAACGAACCTGAAAACGAGCAAATTTTTTCTTCTCGTAATAATGAATTTCTAATCATATTTGAAAAATTTCATCCATTAAGATCATGAAGAATTTGAAACAGAGGATAGTTTGTTGGTGCCATTGTTGTTGTTGACCAAGTAAAAGTATAGAGTAAAAGAATTTGGTATGTTATATAAAGAGAAATAAGTGAATGATCAAGTCAACGTATTGACTGCTTTTCTATTACATGCATCTTAATTTCTTATTTCGTATTACCGTTACCCCCCCCCCCAAATCACACATATTTAGGATGAAAACTTTTTTTTAATAAAATCAAATGTATTACTTTCGCTAAAAGGAACGGCATTCGAAAAAAGAGATTTATGAAAAATGGTGTTATACCTTGCTATTAGGAGAATTGATAGTACATGTACATGCACAACGTGTTAATAAATTTTGTATATGATTGAATTTCTAAAAATACGGTTGTCAGTACGTGACGGATTGTGGATACATGATAAATAATTAAAAAAACACACATCACATAATTGTACGAGTTCCTCATTGTTTTACTATCGTTTCAAAAATCCATGTTCATATAAACGCATTTTATAGAGTGAACTCAAAGATGGGATCAATTACTCATGATTGTAGTAAATGTATTAAATGTTAAACCAATTGGCATGTACTAAGCACCACAGACGAATTTATGGTCTAGAGGAGATAAAGATATCGATAATTTAATAAAAGAATGCAACGAAATTCAAAAAAAATATGGATATTCGTACCAATTCCTTTTAAAAACTTACCAGCGTTGAATATCTCATAACAACAAGAGATTTTTGGACAATTTATAAGTAACCTGTTGGATGGATCATTGAATCATGAATAAAATAAATTTAAATGAAGAGGAGAGTTGTGTTGAAATCATTACACAATTCAAACCAAATCACTCGAAGTTTATACACGAGGTAAAAAAATAAACCATTTTCGAAAGTAAACGTTATGTTTTCTGATCGAATCAAATCTTTCAAAAATAGATTCAGGCTGTCTTAAATGCACTGTTATCAGAAAATTATTATGGAATAGCTAAAGCTCCAATTACAAATACAGTCAAAGCTCGATTTAACGATGCAAACATTTTATGCAACTAGCATCGTTATTAATATCACGTAATATTACGAAAAAAGCACAGTCAATATTGGCTAATATCGTTAAAACACCATATTTAACTTGGAATGAAAAATTCTACCATTTATCCAATATTATTAATAATCTGAACAAATCTACACAAAGAAATTTGTGCATCGTGGCTTTCATCCTGGAAATACATTAGTGTTTATATATGTTCAAACTGCTGAATCTGGACTTAGCATCCCAACAATTATAAAAAAGTCTGACCAAGAAATTTGTGGAATACCTCTTATTGGTGCTAAATTGAGAGACATGCACAACGCTGCAGAGATTTATAGCTTTGGAATGTTGGTGTACGAAATTGTAACAGGTGAACTAGAGTTTGGTACCGGATATATTTTTAATATGAAAATTACGAATATAATCCGGTTTATTCATATTGAAATATATCCAGCTTCAAACTCTAAGGTGAACAACCATTAGTGAGAGATGTCATTGATATAAATCTTGTAGATTACACATATAAAGGAGTTCAGTCATATCTCTATAGTCAGACCCTATACCCTATTCAATTAGTGATATATAAAAACCAGCACAGGTCCCACAAAATATCTCATAATTGTTTGTCAAAATATAGCAAAAGAAGTGATATTGGCCATTTTCTCTCCAGCGATGTTAGGGTCCGGCAAGGTCTTCATGAGTTCTTTTTTTCAATGTGCTACTAATTTCTATATTTAATTTCCCGATATTGCTTTGTTTAAAAATGTCTGTCAACTTTTCTATCTTCTTTGATTTCAGATAATTACGTGAACGGAAAATCAATCTACGCCTGTCAAAACTGTTGAGAAGTCGACGTTCCATTGTACTGTAGTGTAGTAGTAATTTATAAAAACAAGGTTACCATACGATTTTTTTTAGCAAGAATACAAGTCAGTTTTTTTTATTTGTAATTTGGTAAAAGGTAAAAATGGTTTATTTTTGTGACGCATGTTACCATTTTGGAACATTATTGTTTTATTTCTTTTTTTATTTTTTCTTTGTTGGACTCCTTTTAATTTCTCCTATAAAATATGCAATAAATTGTCCTGATCCAAATGTATAAATGCACAGTTGCGTAAAAGTAACATAAAGTGTGCTTTTAAAGCTCTGATTTATATGATTGCTTATAATTGTATACAAATTGCTTTTATATAATTATCTTTAATCCACTGAGACCCGTGAATTTCAGTTAACGTGATTGATGGTTAGGTCCTTTGAACCAGAAAAGGCGTATGATTATAGTGATAGAATTTGTTGAACGATAATTAGAGTTTACAGCTTTTAGCTATAAAAAGCAACGTTTGCATCAATAGTTTGTTTAGAAATCCTGTGAGATAGTTAAATAGCATTTTAAATAAAAGAGTCACAAGTTATAATTTACCTGCAATATCCAACTAATCCTAAAAATCGATATCTGGAGATACCATTCCCAAAATTATCCGTAACAATATGATAGATAGCCAATCATAATTAAATCAGACTGTTATCGTGATCAAAATTTATCCGGGTTTCTTGATACGCATGGCATGGTTAAAAAAATATCATTTCATACTTTCATACTACACAAAATTTTTATTGCTAGATATGGGCTGGTACAAAAAGATTTGTACCTTAGATAAACATTAATAGATTATTTTTTCAAAATAAAATTTTAATTCTTATTTAATTAAGTTATTAGGTATTGGGATTTATTTAAATATATAAATTTTTATTATATATTTTTTATAAAAAATTTTTACTAATAATAACTTTTTTCAATTATTATTTCTTAAATTTTATTATATAAAATTTGATTAAAATTATAAACACTATATGGTAAATAATTTAATTACTCAACTTTGAACCTTAATATCTTTATAACAACTGATTCAATTTTTATGAAATTTAGAACATATTTATCAAATCTAAGATAACCTGCTTGCATAATTTAAAGTTCTAATATTGCAAATTGATAGCAATAATATTTAAAATAATTTTATTTTAGTTTTTTTTAGTAAAGTAATACTTCATACATTATTGAATTAAAGTATAATAGAATAGTTAAAATAGTATAAAAAGTTAATTTAATTCATTTTTCATTTAATATAAAAAATTATAAAGATTAGTCAAAATTTGAATAATTTTTATTATTGATTTTTATATTGAGGTACTAATCTTTTGCACCAATCCATAATTTATTAATTTTATTTTATGTAAAAAAATTTATAAGTAAAATTGAAGACTCTAAGATAGAGTAACTTTAAATCTTTACGATTCTTTAATAAATTTGATTTCACTTGAAAGAATGCTAGTGACTTATATATTAAATTTATAATCTTTTCATAAATAATTTAAAAATTAACTTCACGTGAAACCCATTCTAAAAAAGCCTCAACTTCATTATACATACTTTCTTTACCCCCGTCATATTTACGATTACTGTTATTATTATTAATATCATCACTTTCGATTTCCATTTCATTAAAATCTTCATCATCACGAGAAAAATTCCATTCCACAAACTTTCTAGCGACCAGTTCACATGTGGCATACAACCTTTTTTCACGATCACTTGTGAATGGAGGTGGAATTGTTTCGTAACGTGCAAATAAAGTCGAGAGATGTTTTGCTAATTATTTTTATGTTTGGTCAATTGATTTTTATAGATGAATTTAAAATTAAATTAAGCAGTGACAATTACCTCGTTGAACTACGTTCTCTGGAACTCCAGCCAAGGTAGCACAATAAGTACCCCAAGATGCTGTACTCCTTCCTGGAACAAGTCTAAATGTTTCATAATAAATACATTCATGTAATTGATAACAATACGATAACGTCTAAATTTCGGTGAAACAAATCGAAACAATTACCGATACAGGAATGTGATTTCTTCGTCTTGCTCATTTTTGATTATTTCCATTGTCGCAAAAGAAATAGGCAGATCAGGAGGCATTAAGTTGTTCTCAAATATTTCTAGCCAAATTAATTCAAATGTGTTATTTAAAAATCTTATATTTATGGATATCCAGCAGAAATATAATATTAAATTTACCATGAAAATGTGTTGCAGCAATCACTTTGGGACATTTTAGCCCTCGATTGATTAAATGTTCAATCACTCCACAAAATAATCCGGCGCCATCTTTTTTAACACTTATCTATTATTCTTTGTAATCAATTATGCAACAAGAGAAAAATCAACAATATAAAAATACCAGTCGACCCGGTCCCTTTTCCAAATTCATCAAATATAAGCAATGATCGTTCCGTAGAACTACGTAAAGCAATTGATATTTGCTGTAGATCGATCATGAATGCACTTTGAATCTAGAATTTAAGCGAAAGATATATTTCTTTAAATATGATTCAAGAAAATAAAATATTTTTTTTGCGGCCAAAAACTGAAAAAAATCGACCTTTGAGATAGTTTCACGCGTTTGCACTCGAGTAAATATCTTGTCTGTAAGCCCGATAACAGCAGACTCTGCTGGAACAAAGCTATAAAAAACACAAAAACAATATTCGAGATAAAAAATATTCTACAGTCCCAAATTCTCGATTTAAAGTATATTCTCACCTTCCTATATGTGCCATAAACACAATCACAGCAACTTGTTTCAAATAAACACTTTTCCCGGAATAATTTGCGCCACTTAGCAGCATAACACTTTTTAGATCCTCATTATGGTGATCTTGTACCATTGAAAATGCTGATGCAGTAAAAGATTCATGATTTGCTGGGAAAGTTGAATCCTCGCTCTCTTTGTCCTCTGGTTTGATTATTCCTTTGCCACCAGCTAAATTCGTGTCATTCGCAACAAATACATCAACACAAAGTTCTTGAAGTGGATGTCTTAATTGAGTGATTAATTTGATAAATTAATACAAAGGTTGAACCAACTTAATTGGATACTCATTAGATAAATTACCTTCCTTTTACAATTTTCAATATATTTTCTTCGGTCATCTGCGGTCTTGAATAATGATATCTTCTAGCAGACTCAGCCAAAGAAAGAAGACTTTTTATTTGATCAATTATAGTTTAATTATTGATTTAATGCTAATATAAATTATCTTTACCAATCAAGTTCCGCGCAAACTACTGTCGACGCTAATAGTGACGCTATATTCTCACTGGCTCGTTCTTGAAGTCGTTGCATGATTTCTATTTCGCGGTCTGGATGGAAAAACTTTTATAATTAATTGTTAGACATATTAAAATTTACAATATCATACAAACCAACTATTAATCCATGAATATCTCCAAGATATTCATCAAGTTCTGAAATTTTTAATAAATCATTTAAATGCTCATCTAAATTTTCATCTATTTATTTCATTTACCACGCATTCGATCATTCTTGTAATATACAGTTGTCGCTGTACTAAACTAAAAATAAAAAATCGATTAAGATCTGTATTCATTGATGGGTACATTAATTAAATTACGCCACCTGATAATACAATCCTTCGATCTGGAAGTCTTCTTCCTCTTTCCATTCAGGTTTTAACGGAACGGTAATCAAATACCCGAGCTGAGGAAAGTAAATGACATTCAATGTGGATGCGAATTCACTTGGAATTGTTGTAGCAATTTCTCGTGCGACTTCAGACTTTATTGATGAAAAAAATATCAAAGTTTACATTCATTAGCTGAAATAAATATCAAAAATGAGGAGAATTTTACCAAGAAATCATCCAGTCCATTGTATGTTCTCTTCATTTCATCGAGTTCCTAATATTTAATTCAAGGTAAATGTTTATATAATTTAATATATACCAGCTCATACCTCATCAACGTGCAATTTAACCACAACGCGATTCTCGTTAGCGCTTTCGTCGAAATCAATCTACAAAAGTTGCAACTAGAAATCTTATTCATCCGGAAATTGTCGACTTTACAATGTCAAAAGACATACCACATCATTTATAACTGAACCAAGATCTTTCAACTCAGTAACAACGAAAGTTTCTCTTATCTAATATATAATATTCTGAATTAAAAAAATTCAAAAAAGGCAAAAAAAATTGAAATTCGATACTTTGTTGAATATTTGTATATTTTCCGAGGAATTCAATTCTCGAATAAGGTTACGAATTTTAAGACAGTAATAAGCGAACTACGAATCAAAATCAATTAGATCCATTCATACTATATTTCAAATATAAAAATAAAAGTTACCTGCAACAATGACTGCCACTCTGCAATATTCAACTTCCCTTTCATGCTCTCCAGTATTTTTGGGATATTCTTGACATGCTTCAAGCAATTAGCTAAATGCTCGGAAATATGAAGATTATCCGGCTGTAAAAAACAGTCAATGGTACGAAATCTCTCTTCGAGGATATTTAAGTCAAGGCTTGGTCGAAGAAACCATTGTTTAAAGAGTTGTTTGCCGACTGGTGTTCTTGTTCTATTGAGTACTCCTGAGTCATTATCGTTTCAATAAAAATTATAGTTATTGCGGCTCATTGTGATAGTCTATTAGAATTGTTGTTTTTATAGGTTTATGTTGTGGTTTACCGAAAATAGACAACCCTTCTTTCGCTCGAGATCGCGCATGCATATTTGGATGAGACTCATCCTCGAAGATTTGGAGTGAACTAAATATTTCAAAGTTCATTAATTATCGATCAAATGTAAATTGGCGAGAAATCAAATAATAAGAATACCAAAGAGTATCCGCGTTAACATGCAGAATTGTTTTCCTATAAATTTTAAAGTTAAAAGGAAGACAACCAGTTTATAAGTATCATTGTGCACAACTTACAACGAGAATTGCTCAATAGACAGTATTTTGTGGTCTTGATCTTGCTGATGCAATAATTCATCTGTGACTCTTGCTCTTGCAATATAGCTAAGCAATGCACCAGCGCAACAGACCTGAAATAGTTCACAAAATCGATATTAAGCAAAGTATAAAACATAGCGAATTAAAACTAAAACATACCGCCTCAACACTATCCATATCAATAATACTCGATAGCTTCAAATACATGTCTTTTTTTGTAGCGCTGATTTGTACTGAACTGAATCCGTGAGTTCCGCCAAACTTTATCGATAAAAGTTTTGTTTTTGCTGATGCCCATACGAATTCAACATTTGGGCGAATCTCGACGGTAGATTCTAGGGAATTTGCTTCATCTTTCGTATTTATATATACATAAAGTATTGATAAATAGAATTCGTAATTGAGCTAATAAAGAATATAGTTCTACCGGTGGTTTTTAATGCTTCTATAAAGTCTTCGTCCGCACGTGAACTTGTGAGAATAATCGACGGGGAGATTTGAAATCGCACTTTATTCAAAATATTAAAGAATTAAACATCTATGTGGATTAAATTATATATACATGTACATGTACTTGCATAAATCAAGTAAATCATAAGGAGTGTTATTTTCTTCCATATCCTCCATTATATACAAAGTGGAAGTAGCCATGTTATAATATGCACAACCCAATTTTCGATTTCTAAAATTGATAGCCATTATTACCTAATAATTAATAATTAAATGAGTATATATAAATATGAAAAAATAAACTTTAATTAAATATAACTTACTTTATCAATTAAACTATCCTCACGATCTAATGTATTGTGTTCAGTAGTGGTTTCTTCTTCGTTTCCAACTCTTGACGTTACAGTTGTCGACATCATTGACGAATCTACATCATTAACAACATTTTCATCGCCCTCAATGTTAGAAAATGTGATTCTTCCTCCTTCGCTTTCAACTGCATCATGATTTTGCCTTATCGAATTAGATCTAGTTGCATTTTTAGTTTGACGACTGAGAAAATTTTGCTTTGATTCGATTTCCCAAGGTGGTGTCGAAGCACGAGATTCACTGATCGATGTATTTGAATTATTATTTGGATGAGAATTTGTAGATTGAATGTATTGATTAGGTGCACTCTTATTAATATCACGTATGTCAAAACCTAAGGTTGTAAGTTTTTGACGTTTAGTGTACGGAGAATCATCGCTTTTAAGTTCTGATAATTGAGTTGGCGAGGTTGCAATACTTGAAGAAGCCTCATTGACGTTCTATTGGGTTTTTTTAGATCGTTTGCAATTAATGATGATGAATTATTGCTATTTATATTGGAATTTGTAGCTATAATTACATGAAAGTTCTCGTCATCAATATTATTGTCATCAAGTGTAACTTGCTTTGACTGCATTCCATTTTGAACATTTTCTTGAATATTTTCTTGTGCCGGTAAAATATATGTGAGAAAGGAGGTTTCAGAACTTTGTTCCATTCTTTGCCTTAGAAGTTCTGACGAGGTTTTAATTGTTTTTTAAATGAATATATAAATTTTGTTCGCTCTATACACAACAAAACTCCATCAGTTCTACATGTAGTACATTTTTTTAATCTATCACGTCATGATATTGATACATTACTATAAATAAATGTTTTGTTTATTTAATACACAAATATTTCTTATGAAAGTAGTATTTTGTTCAGAAGAATTCAGAAGATACATTCACAATAAAATTCTTTATATAAATTCACAAAAATAAATATGCTTACCTTTCCCAAATTACAAATCTTGGTACTGTCAAAAATAAAAAATATCATATGGTAATCTGTTGGCACGTCTTGTATTTATAAATTGCTATTAACCACAAGTATAATGGAACATCAACCTCCACAAAAATTGACAGTCATTTTAAACCAAATAATATTTGAAAATTAAATATAGCAAGAAACAAATGATTTTCAATTGTCAAACAATGGGATAAGAAAAAAATACTTTACAACTTCAGCATAAATATGAAAAAATCAAGAAGCTATCTTTAAATGTGAAAAAAATATTTATGACATTGAAAAGTTCATAAAGACTTACAGAATATCAATATATTAGCCAGCATTTAACAGATAGTATTTTAGTTATTAAAAATTTCTATTCATATTTTGTTATTGAATGGCATAATATATAGAGTTAAAAAGAAATAATTTATTATATTTAATTAAAAATAAAGAACTATTTGATAAAATTGGAATAGATATATTAGAGTTATTATAATGATCATTATAAGTAATAAGAATCAAAAGTGGCACAAACTGTACATAGAAAAAACTTGACTGTGTACAGCATGTACAGTCACATTTTAATGACAATTTATTTATTAATGTAACATAAAAACAAACCTAAAAAAACAATCCTTAGTTTTCCCTCTTTTTTTCATTACAAATGAAAGAAACCCTAATTATTAACTAATAAAAGACTATAAGTCATCTTTGGAAATGTGATGTCTGTGATGTCCCAACTTTAGCAAAAAAAAGTGGTGTTCTTCTTTTTACAGCATATAAATATGTCACTCAACTAAAAAAAAAAACTCAAGTCTATTTCTTGCCTGAGACATCTCATAATTTTAATTTCTCAAGATCAATATGCATTAGAAAGAATTATTACAAATAACAAGTATCTTACTTGTGGTGAAATTAGCCACAAAACTTCAATTTAAGGTTAAAATATCTGTGCAAATAATAAATCATGAGCTTAATAAGCTTGAATATTATTTAAACCTTCCAAAAATCATGTTTCTGCTTTTAGAAAAACATCATCTAGCTCAAGTAGAATCAAATAATATCTTTGCTTTCAAGATTTTATTATTAAATATAATTATATAATTAATATTTGCAAATAAAGTAAGTCTTCTTTTAATTCAAAGTATTTTACTTTGATTTGTTACTTGAATATTATATTATTAAAATTTTTCAAGACTTTATATATTTTAGTAAAATATTTATCTTTACTATATTTCTTTATTAACTTTTCTTTATTGATAAAACTAATAATTACTATTGTAATATTTGCTAAATATAATTAATAAGAAAGTATATTTATAATAATATTATTTTTGTCAGACTTATATTTGATTTCAATATTACTGACTTATAATATTTTTAATCAGTGAGTTTATCACTTATAAAAATTATATTATATTTTAATATATTTAAGAAAGGCATAATCTGTAATTATTATAAACATCTGCTCTTCTAAATATAGCTTTAGAATCTGATAGAATATATAATTATAAGTAATTCTTTTTTATATACTGGATAATTTTGTTTAACTAGTAATAACTTTCTTGATTCAAAAGTTATTGATTAATTATTCTTGTCCTGATTTTAACTAAACATAATTCTAATAGTAAAGTCAGAAGAATTTGTGATAACTGTGAATAGTAATTTTGAATTGGATAATAATAAGATTGATACTAATAGTAAATTCTATTTAAGTAATTCAAATACTTATTATACTTAGATAAACTATTTATATTCTTTATTTTTATAAAAAATTGTTATAAATAATAATATTATAGACTATAATAATAATATTATATTTTGATTTTATAAATATATACTTAAACTAATCAAGCTAGTAAAGTCTATTATATCTTGTATTTGTCTGTATTATTATTATAATGACAAGAAAGTTAGTCATCCAAAATAGTACAAGTACTCTATATATTTAATTTATAAATTTACTATATTAAAAATAAAAAGAAAAAGGAATAAAAAAGATAATTTGAAAATTGAGCATGAATTGAAAAATATTAATATTATATTATTTTTCAATATATAAGATATAATAATATTATTATTTAATACTATTAATAATAGAAAAGAAAGTGATAAAAATATTTTTAATAATAAAGAAGAAAGCAGTACAGATATTTTTAATAATAAAGAAGAAAGTAGTAATAGAGATTTTTATAAATAATACTTATTAGACTATAATCTTGAGACTGATCATGAAACTGATACTAATAATTCAGAAGTGATCTTAGCATAATAAGATTTGCTTGATGATATTAACATTACTTTATCTGATAATAGCAAGTCTTTACTAGATATATAAAGCAGTATTTTTAATGAAAATACTATCATATAATGGATTATAATGTAACTATTATTATTTCAGCACATAATAAGATTATCAAAGATAGCTATTGAGTTATTATTAGACTTTTTTGCAAGTGTTCTCACCTATTTAGATCCAAGTCAGTTTCTTACATTTCCTACAAGCAATCATCTAGCAACAAAATTACTAGCGGCCAATACAAGATTTACAAAACTTATCATCTATTCTAAATATCATCATCTCTTTGATTCTACTGAATATTCCAATAAAATATCACAAACATTTTGTTCAATTCTGAATTGTGGTGAAGAGTTAAAAAAAGCTACCAGAACACCCAAAGAAAAAATATTATATAAGATAATAATCACATTATTGTGCCAAATTATTTTGATCTCATATAAATTTTCATATGATCTTCTAAACGGGCCATACGAGTTTTTCTATATACATTAATAATTGAATGACTTTCAACTTGCTTCAACATTTTGATATTGAAGAAACAATAATGACATGTTATAAACGACCATTAAATACTCAAAACTTGAAATCTGATATCTATGATGGAAGAGTATGACAAACTCTAGATGATGGTGAAGATAATCAGTTTTTTTCTGGTGATACTTTGGATAGACATCCGTATAAACACATATTAACTAATGTTGGCTAGAGATGTGTCTATGCGCATTATGCACGTATATATGTGCACACATATATTCACATTATGCGCATAGCTACTAACCGATATTGTAAATGCCCATACACAATTATGCATATAGTTAAGTTCATAAATCATCACCAATTAAGGCATTTATACTCAATAAATAATGATAAACAAACGCATTTATACTGTACTGATACAGAATATACGTATAATGATAATGATAAACATCTACATCTTATTGTTGAAGTTCTATATGAAAATATTTAATCAAATTGGTTATATTGCTGGATTTGACAATAATATCAATGTGATAATTTAGTAATTCAGCATAAGTCACATCTGCGTGTATGTTCAAATACCTCAATTGAAGTTAAATGATCATTTTTTGGTGAAAATCCAGAAATTGCTAATACAAGTTCACTCAATGCCAATTCGCCAGGAAGTCAACTTATGCAATACAAAGCAAAATCAGATCTTTTCAATAATACATTAGCATGGAAGTGCATTGATAATATTGATCCAATTACTTGGTGGATTGCGAATTTTGCACAAGCAGTGC